AAAAAATGAATCCATTAGAAAATTTTACAAGTGATGAAAATACCTTTCTGGTTATCAAAATATATTATAAAACGTACCTTTCTGGTTATCAAAATATATTATAAAACGTACCTTTCTGGTTATCAAAATATATTATAAAACGTAACCAAATTTTGGGATAATGGTTTAGCATTCAAAATGTAAATGAATGAAATAGTTTGAAATAAATATACATATGTGTACCAACAAAGCATAAAAAAGAAAATATCAAAAATATTTTGTATTTGATATATTTAGCTAATGACAAAAAGGAGTTCATGACCAGCCTGGCCAACATGGTGAAACCCCTTCTTTACTAACAATACAAAAATTATTATTTGGGCATGGTGGGGCATGCCTGTAATCCCAGAACTTGGGGGCTGAGGCAGGAGAATCGCTTGAACCCAAGAGGCCAAGACTGTGCTGCTGCACTCCAGTCTGGGGGACAGAGTGAGACCCTGTCTCAAAAAAGAAAAAGGGACTTTTGGGAGAAAAATAATAATTACAGCCTAACCTTATAACAAATGCTAGTATTAATTATAGATTTAAAAGAGAAATTTTTAAAAAGATAAAACTGTAAATACAAAATAGAATAAAATCCAGGTAAATACTCAACCTATCTTGGAAAATAAAGAAATTTAAAGAAATCTAAATCTTAAAAAAAATTTTTTTTATTACAAAAGAGGACAAATTGATTTGGCTATATAAAACTTTAGAGTATTTGCACAAATGTCACATTGGTAAAATATCTGCAGTAAATGGTATGTAAATAATAATATTTTCAGAATATTAAGGTTCTTACAAATTTGAAAGATGTTATATAATGCACTGAAGCTTGCTAGGGGTAAATTGAAAGAACCATAGTAGTAAATTGAGGGAAAAGTAAGAACAATTTATATAATAAATAAATCTATGGAAAAATACTTAACTTCATTGGAAGTAAAAGAAATTCAGTATAAAGAATGACAAGATGCTACTATTGCCTATTATGTTAGCAAATTAATAATGTTGAATATTTGGAAAAGAGGGAGTAAACTAAGCATATATACTGCTAGTATATAACCAACATTACATATATACATTGTGTATATATATTTACACATATATAAAATATATATAATACATATATTCTTAAAAGTTCATACTCTTTGAACCAGTAAACTAAGATATAAAAATTCAGTAAGTATAATGTGCTACTAATTATATATCCAACAAAATGGAAATTACTCAACAGATTACAGTATACAAAATAATGCCAGACAGCAATTAAAATTTGGTTTCCAAGACTTTTATAAAAAAGAGCATGTGAAATGTTCACAGTATAATAAGTAAAAAATACAACAAAGTAATTTAACAAATTTTAAGCTACTCCTTTTAAAAAGACATAATCATTTTGAGCCTTGGAATTATCATGATGATTTAATTGTAGTTTGGCTAGCATACAATTTTGGGTACATTGACCCAGATAATGATTATATAAAATTGAATGCTTACATAGTAGATATTTCTTTAATGCTTTAATTTTTAAATTTATGGATTCACTGATATCACATCATCTCAAAAATATTTATTGATACTAATTTAAATTTGATAATATGGCTCACAAATAATAAACTAATGAAATAAACAGTATGATTTAGAAACATTGAAAATCAGTTAATCAGTTGTTCTCTAGAACCATCAAAAACAATTCTTGAGACATTTATAATACCTTACATTAAAAACAGGAAGATGAGATGGTTCTTTTTGGCAGTCTTAAAGTGGCAATAAACTTGAACAGTAGGCTTCTAGTGAAATGATTTATCAAAATCTTCTGAAAGATTTATAAAAGTCTGACTATTAAAACTGTTATCCTCCTAATGAGTTTAAACTAACAAGATCAGAAAAAGGTGGTAATTTCTCCTATCACAGTAAAAAGTGGTAAATAAATCTTACAAGCACAAGTTGCAATCCACGATACATTGATTTAAGAGAGAATATTTGATGATGACAGTAAGTCAAAAAGGAAACATTTTTGCAGGACAAGAACTAAAATAAGTAAAGCATGTAATTCACTGTCTTCTGCCATTAATTATCTTAACGATGATGATTTTAGTCAAAGAACAAAAACACTCAAAATGTACACTAATTTGGGTCATCATTTACTCCGGAAGATAAGATCAGTTTGGTAATTTGTATATCAGAGATTGTAAGATGAAATTCTAAAAATTCACTACATTTGACATTTTCTTTTAAATCATGAAACAGTAAAATTTGCCAAGTGTGTTATGTATCAGAGAGTTATCTCCTAGCATTATATAACAAACTGAGAAATATGTAGAACAAAGAAATTCTTTTCTATTCTTAAACATTTATATATTAATATCATCTTCATATTACATTTGAAAGGTAGGAGCTGACCAAGAATGTGGATATGGTAGTATTTTCAAATGTATACTATGGCTACTTTTTTCAAAGTAACAAAAAATGTTACAGAAATCTATATCCTATGTGAAATATATTCAAAATGGAATGAACTCTGCATGTGACAAATGAGATACTGTAATGTTCTACCATCAGTAGGTGCACCAAAGGAAATAAACAGGATATTTTTCCTTTTGGATTTGAAGAAAGAATACAAAGTCTTTATCATTAAACTTCCATTTCTAATTAAAATAATCTGAGCCAAAATTTAGCATGTATTATTTCAGTGTATTTTCTGTCATTTTTCTTTTAATGTAAAGAAAGAGGCAATCGTGAGGATAGGGACTGCACAGAGTGTCAGGGCTCTATTTCTTCCTATGATTACAGCATTCTGGCCGCTAGATGGGGCATGGGGTGGAGAGTCGGAGGTATAAGGACAAACTTCATATTAACACATGATGGCATACGGATTTTTATCCTATATGTATAAAAAAAATTTACTGTCATAAAAACATTGTCCTCAGATAATGGTTGAAAGACTAAAATAAGCAGCATATTGTCAGAATCCTTTAAAAAAAAACTACCCATAGTGTGAAAAACTGACTTAATATTACAGATTATTTAAAATAAAATGAGGCATCTAACTACTGGTAAGTGTTCGTGCTAAGCAGAACCACAGGGATAAATGTTTCACAAAGATATCTCCCTAGCCCTATTTCTTGATGTGTGATTATAAGTAAAAAATATTGGCTATTTACAATAAATAGTAAAGAAGACAGCTTGCACATTGAAGTCAATGAATTTCAGAATTAAATGCAAAATGATGTTGATACTATTTCAATGAGAAAGTCAAAGCATCCTTTCAATTAGGTAAGATTAGTGCGAAGTTGCAGATGACCAAAGTAATCATTTGACATTATCGGAATAGCAGATAAAAGATG